AGTGATGTGGCCTTGACAAGGAACTTACTTCCCAATGCCCCAGTGTCCTATTTGTTGTGAAGAAATCTATCCACCATCATCAGCACGGCACAGCCCTGTGCCAACGCTTCTAGGCTTCCTAGCCCTGAAACTGCCCCTCTGTTGTTTAAGCACAGTTTTGCATCCATTTTTAACCCCTTTCTATACATCTCCAATGTGCCAGACGCTGTTGCTAGACACTTGGATTGTAGGGCCAGGTGTAGTGCATGCCTATAATGCCACCACTCTGTGAGACTGAGACAGGAGAATGGCAAGTCCAAGCCAAGCCTGTGTAGTATAGCAAGACCCTGTCTCAAAATTAAAAAGGGCTGAGAGTGCAGTTCAGAGCAAAGATCTTGCATTCAGTTGCTAGTACCACCACCACCAAAAACAAAATGAAACAAAACAAAAGGAGAAAAAGACACAGTCTCTCTTCTCAGAGTCTTCCTGACACTGAGCTATAATTTGAAGATGTGCTGATTTGCCAAAGAGATTGCTGGGAACTGTAAATACAGTCCCAAGCAGGAGCCTTTGAAGAGAATCTTTCAGTAGGTGAGCCTGGGAGGGCAGCATTCTGGCCCCAGTCTGTTCTACCTGGACCTTCCAGCCAGCGCTCTGCCACCCTCCCCATCCCGACACTGCACTCAACCTGAGGCATGACCCGAGCACCTCCTCTGCCCCCTGTTGATGTGCAGTCCCCTCTGACAAACTTTTCCTGGGGTTTCCCCTGAGGATTCACTGCCATCGGCCCAATCTCTCCCTCCTCCTTTTGCCTGCAGTTCTTGAGCACATCTGATTATATCGGATTAAATTTTCTCCAGTTCCATCAGGGCTGCTTTCCCAGGGGGTTGGCCCCAGGCCACAGGATCAGCTGTCTCACGGTGGCTGTCCTTTCACTGCCTGTGGAGGCCTCTCCAGAGCCTGGTGGTGAGGCGGGGGTAGGGGGAAGTATCTCAGAAATAGTGTTTCTAGTTGTCATGGAAACTGTGGCTAAATGTCACCCGGAACCTGCACTAGAGGTTGACCTTCCCAGAAATGGGGGGAAAGAGTAATACTTGAGTGAGACCTGAACTCTTTCCCTGAGCTAAGTGATTTGGCCTCATTGCCTCAATTGTTCATCCATTCATTTGGTCAGTATACATTTGCCTAACACTTTCTATTCTCTAGGACTATGTGGGTCTCCAAGATTTTGGAAATAAATCAGATTTCAGCATAAGGAGATTAGTATAGTGGGAGAGGGGAAATGTAAATATAAGATAGTACTCTACAGCACAAGGGCTTGATTGGGAATGTCCACTGGGCATAAGGAGGCTGGGGCAGGAACTTTAACCCTCCCTAAAGGCAGAGGGGTTAACCTGAAAATCTTCCAGGAGGGGACAACACTAGTGCTGACTGTTTACATACTTGTAAGTATCCAGGTAGAGCCCAATCGCCTTCTGGAAGTGTTCAGATGTGAACATTGGGGAATAGGTTAAGACTTCCTGGTTTGGGTTGGGTTCATGGGAATGAGCAGAACAGAAGGCTGGGAAGTTGGATTACAAGGGTACTGAGGCTGGATCCTCAGAAGAGTGTCTGTGGGTACTGAGGCTCACACGAGGATGGCACTGACAGTCAGGGAATCAGACAGCCCTCAGCATGTGGGTCAGGATGGTCAGTGGGACCTTCAGTGTCTGGGTGGTGAATTGCTCAGGCTTTTGTGACCACTCAGATGCAGCGGATTAAAAGGGAACCTGGATAGACTTCAGTGCTCTTGGCTGGGTGCTGGTAAGGGTTGTGACACAGACAGCTGATGTCAAGGGACAGGGGGAAAGGAAGGGTGGTGACAGAGCAGAGGGAAGATGAGAAGCAGTCTGGCCTTCTGGAGGTACTTGGATGAGAGTGGCCAGCAGCCAGGTATCAGCCAGGGATGGCAGAAGTAAGGTACCACTGAGCAAGAGGGCCATGGCCACCAGCTTGGCACAGAGAGCATTTGAAAGGTCAGTGGCTGTAGCTTGATGAGGTGCACTTGGGAAACAGGTGTCACAGGAACAGGGAAGTAGTCAGCTGTGAGATTATAGGGGACAGAAAAAAACTGGTCATGTGAAGACACTAAAGATGGCATTTAACTTGGGAATTCAAGGTCCCTGGTGACTACTGGAGAGGTTCCCATGGGGTAGGGAGACAGAGGTCTGGCTGCTGGGAAGGGAAGTTAGCACAGAGAGTCTGCTGAGGAAGAGGAAAGGGGCCAAGGGTTGTCTGACATGCCAGGAAGTTGGACATGAGATTGAAAAGAAGTCATTACGAGAAGGTGGGAAATGCCGGCTGTGGATGGGGGAAGGAGAAGTGGCTATTGTGCCCATTCCTGGACGCCCTGCTGTGGAGGTGGCTGCCTCCAAGGCAGAAGCATAGTCTGGGTGATCAGGCATTAAGTTTAGGCTGAAAATAAGGGCTACAAGGATGCGGAGGTTATGGGTATGAAAATGGAAGTGTATGTCAGTGGTCCCATGTTTCTGCTTGAGTGTGTGTGTGTGTGTGTGTGTGTGTGTGTGTGTTCCTTCAAGGCCCAGTGTGAGGCTCAGGTGTAGCAGATCAGAGAATCTTGCAGTATTTCTTTGGCAAGTTGTTTAGATTTTCATCACCATTGCACCATTGTTGCTGTGTGTCTGTGTGTATGTTGATGGATGTCTCTGTATGTGCTTGCATAAGTCTGTGTCTGTGTATTAGAATGAAGTCTTGGTGCCTGTTAGAGCTGTAGAGATCCAAAGAACACAACTGAGGTGCTAATATTACCCCAATTATTCAAAAGAGACAATCAACCCCAGAGAGAAAGAGAGACCTGCTCCATGCCTGATCCTGTTCTACAGCTGAATTAGGTACACTATGAGTGCCCAGGTAGGGCCATTGGCAGTCCCCTTCAAAGTGTAGATTACTGGAGGTCTGGTGGCTTGCTAACACCACAAAAGCAGCTTTTGTTTCTCTGAGAGCTACTCGGGTTATCTAAATATTGCCTCCAGTCTGAAACTGGAGATCCAGTCTCAGAGGGATCAAAGTAACCCCTGGAACTTATTCTCAGTTTTCCCTGGGCCCTGAGAAATGCCCAGCATAAGAAAAATTATCAGACAACCAAGTTCACATTGCATGATAGACAAGGACTGATCCACTCACCAGCCCAAGATGAGAATCAGGCACTTAGAGCATCCCTGAAACACTGGTGTTCAGAACCCAAGTGTGAAAAGTCCTGTCTGCACAGCCAGCCAGAGTGGGTCATTGCAGCAGTCACAGCTGCAGTTTCCTTTCTGCCTGGTTGTCTCATTTTGCCATCTAATTTGGTGACAAATCAAGGTGATTTATAGGGAACAAGTCTGCATTTAGTGTGACATTTTCATCCACAGTGTTAGCCCTTGGCGTACCCTTTCCTTTGCTGCCCTGCCCTCCTTCAGGATATTCATGGATTTGGAAACAGGGCTGGCGATTCTAAAAGCCCTAACCAACTCCAGCCCCCAAAATTCAGGCCATTCTATGGGGAGAGAAAAAAGGCCGAGCTCAGCTCCCCAAACTGCTTCTAAACTTTCAGCAGGCATGCTCCCTGCTGTGGTGCACACCAGCATGTGCTTGATCTAAATGGTGCTGCTTCTCTCCTGCAGCATTGCCTAAAAGAAACAGAATGTGGCCCCCCGAGCAATTTTAAATTTTCAAAGGCCCACTTTTGAAAAGTTAAGAGGAAGTGGTAGAATTACATTCAATTATTTATTCCACTTAGTAGCATAATCTTTTCAAAATGTAATAAATATAAAAAATACTAATAAGGTAATTTTCTATTCTTTTTTTTTTTCTTTTAACTCCCTTTGGGACCCCCCTGATGTGTACTGCGCATACGCAGCACTTCGCAATTCAAATTTACCAAGAATGGTACCACAAGTACTCAGTTGCCACGTGTATTTGGTGGTGCCTCTGCTGGGCAGAGGAGTATCAAGGAATCTCTCTGGTGATGCTAGCCATGTGGAGTAAAAGTGTGCTTTTAGTGGATTCAGAGACCAGGGCTTTCGATCTCAATTTCCCCGAATATGGAGTCAGGATGATGCCCCCTGTCCTTTTGGCTTCCCAGAAATATTTTCAGAAATTACGTGGTACTCCCACTTTCAGAGTCCTTATTCTGAAATGTGATAAAACAAATTTACAAAATAGTAGACCGGATGAAATATTTGCATTCAATAAATTCATGTTGTAGGCATACCAAATAACAATATTTGTTTGTTCAACCTCATTTGGAAATCAAAAGTCAGTGTTTAAAACTACACCCCAAAGGGAGGTCACAGCTGAATGTCCCTTCAAATCAAATATCCTTCCTTCACACTTCTGCACTATCCAGTGTGATAGTCTCTCCAAACTTGAAGAAGAGTAAATTGTTCTTTCCGGCTATGGTACTCATACCTGTTTGGGGGGTGGTTCTGGAGGACTGGGTTCTTTTCTTTGGGTAAGGAAGACCTAGGATGCTGGAGGTTTGACTCTGGGTTAATAGTGAGATCATGACCACGCACTGCTACTGTTCTATCCAGGAAACACTCTGGCTTCTGGAACCCTTAAAGCCTGGAGGAATCGGGAGAAAAGACCATCAACACAAGGACAGGTGTGCATGTATAGGAGGGAAGGCTGTCCCTGTGTTCCAGGAACAAACCTCTATGTAGTTGTGATTCCTGAAGTTCATTCCTCTGACACTGGCAAGGCGGCCTGGGCTTAACCCCTGGAACACTTCAATCTCTCTCTCTCTCTCTCTCTCTCTCTCTCTCTCTCTCTCTCTCTCTCTCTCTGTCTCTCTCTCTCTCTCTCTCTCTCTCTCTCTCTCTCTCTCTCTCTGTGTGTGTGTGTGTGTGTGTATGTGTGTCTGTCTCTCTCTCTGTCTCTGTCTTTGTCTGTCTGTTTCTTTCTCTTTCTCTCTCTCCTCTCTCTCCTCTTTCTCTCTCTCTCCTGATTTTTCCTTTCTTTCTGTCTAATTGCAGCATGATTCATAAGAGCTGCTCTGTATCAGTTATTTGCAAGCAGAGAGGCTCATCTTGTCCTAGAACTCTTCTTAAGATTCAAAAGGCAAAGAAGATGGAGAGGTTCAGTCCTTTTCCTAAGAATCATCTTGTTTTAGGCTCAGTCTTCAGTCTTCACAAGATACAACTGAGTGCCATGGAGAGAATACAAATCTGAGCCGAGACACAACGTTTGCCCGACCATTGGACATGCAGGTCATTTCAGGGTTGTGGTCCTTGATTTCTTCATGCTGATGCTATATCAGTTCTGTGAGAGCAGGAGCTCAGTTCAGCACATTGCCTGACACGTAGCAGAGAGGAACGTATTTGGAGGATGATAAATGTGTGCATCTGTAAAATAGGAGGAAGATTGTTAATTCTGAGCACCAAGCAAAAAACAATACACACACACACACACACACACACACACACACACACGCACGCACGCATGCATGCATGCAAGCATGCATGCACAGTGAGTGATCCCCAAGGTAAGAAATAAAAGGGATGGTTGTGGTCTAAGTCCTGAATTCTGAATTCCTGTCCCACTCTGCCATTGCCTTGTTCCATAGACTTTAGTCAGTCTTTAATCATCTTGTTCCTCCGAATTTTCAGTTTCTAAATAAGTAATTGATTAGTTCTCCGTTTAGTGTGGATGGGACTGGAGACAGTGATGTGTGTTTATGTTGAATGGATCTTCCTATATGAGACACACTAAATACATTTGCATTGACATAACTGGTGTGTCTCAGCTGGAAATTATCACTGGAAAATTGCAAACCATGTCTGATCCTGGAATCAGACAACATTTTTGGTGATGCTTTGAAAAGTCATCTGGAAAGGAAAGGGAAGGAGAAGCATAGAGAAGAGATGCATTGTCAGAAGGAGGCAGAATACAGTGTCAGATACTGGAAAAATTAATGGGCTGAGAGAAGACATAGGTTCTTATTCCAGCCCTGCCTTGAATTCCAAGTGATATTTAACAAGTCACTTCCCTCTCTGTGTTCACTCCCCTTCTCTTCTAAGATGGTAGTTGGATACCAGATGATACCTTTCAACTCTCTGAACACTACCTGGTCAAATTTGTGCAGCTTACCCCAGCACTTGTAGCCTAGAGCACAGCTACTTGCTGATTCTGCAGAGCAGGCCATGCTCTGCTAGGCCAGCAGTCAAGAAGAATGTATTTCCTTACATTCACAGGCACAGTCACCTCCCTAGGGAAAATAGTTTAGCAACAGTGAGATGCTGAACCTTGAGTTTGGCAGAAGGTGAGGTCAGACACTCTCTGAAGGGAACTCATCCTTCGATATCCAAGTTACACTTTTAGACAGGTGAGCGTAGGGAATGAACTCCAGACTTAGGTTAGGAGACTTCAGTCTAAAAGCCAAATTTGGTACTGACTTCTCTTACCATCCAGACTACTTCTTCCCATTTCTGAGTTTCAGTTACCTGCCATAAAACGATACTCTTTGCTTTGATTATTTCAAAGAGACCTTTGCACTGTGGTCCTCTATGTCACCTCCTTTCAGTACAGCAGGATCAAATGAGGGCAGAAGGGGACCTGGCTGGCAGCCCACTCTTATAGGCAGCCTGTTTCTCTCTATAAAGAAAATCACCACTGAATGAATGGTCAGTTTTTAGCTGCCTGCAATCAGAAGAGAACCCACTTGAGAGAGGAAACTGGGACCAAATCTCAAGCTGTTGGACATTTGATTGCAAAACAAACAAAAGCGATAAAAAACAGCCTAACCAAAAAAAATTTTTTTTCATCTGCTTAGTTTCTATTGTATGCCAAGTACTGTAAGCTTGCTCTGGTCTTCACAGGGCCATCTTTTTTTTTGTCTTGCTCATCCTGGTTTAGAGGTCATCTTCCTAAGAGCAGCTCTTACCTGAGAAAAACCTGAAAAGGACGTGATAGACTCACTTTTAGATGAGTACCCTGAAGGTCAGTGTAATCATTTAAAACTTAAGTTGAGTTATGTCACCTCCCAGTATAAACGAGGCAGACACCATCCCATCACTGTTGGAAGGGCACTCACTCTGGCTTCTGCCTTTTCCCCAGCTCTGCTCTGTTGCAGCTGTCCTGGCCTCTGCAGAATGCACTCCAGGCTCTGTCCACTCTGGGATCCTTTGCACAAGCCAATTCTTCCCCCAGAATACTCTTCCTGGCTCTTCAACTGACAGCTTCTTTAAATCCTTAAGACTTCTGCTGAAATGTCATCTCCTCAGAGAGGTATTTCAAGAGAATCCTAAGTAATCCCTCTCCACCAATTATTTTTTATCATAGCACCAGTTGCCTCCTTCATGACACATTTCATAATTAAAATGTTTTATTTAGTTGCCAACTTGTTCATTTCGGGCCTATCTTTCCCACTTGATTGTAAACTCCAGGAGGGCAGAATCCATGACTAGTTAGACACTTACAGTTAACACAGCACATGACAGAAGCTCGTATGGGAAGAGAGTGTGTTCAAAGGACAGTGTAATATTACTAAAGTGGAAGTATTTGCTTTCAAAGATCTCATCTAATTAGGAAGAGGCACAAAGAGACCATCACACTGGTGCGTAATCTTTCCACTTGCTATCTGCATAGGTATAGACCATCCTGAGGGGTCAGTGAGGCTTCCAAGGGTGGAGAAGTGATTTTTGAGTTATTATCTCAAAACTAATTAGGGATCTACCTGAGAGAGCACCAAGTGAAGGTGAATCAGTATGAATGGTGGTTAAGGTGTAATGAATAAGCGTGGATGAGTCATTTGTTCAACGTTAAGTGTTTTTAGGTGTTACAGACATAGGATCTCTTGAGGGGAACTTGAGGAGATGAGCCAGAAGTGCCTGATATTTAATATCCAGGTATTTAACATTTTCCTGAAGATAACAGGGGAAAGGGAAGGATATTAAGTAGATGAATTATAAGATTGGGGTATAGCTTTTAAAAACTTTTTAATTATAAAAATAATGCTTATCACTGTAGAAAACTTGAAGATAATAAAAACACATCAAGAAGCCAATGAGCTGTAGCTAACAGAGAAGGTGTTGCAGTGCTACCCAGCATTGGGCTGAGAAGGGTTGGAACAGCCTGGACTGGAGACAGAAGAGTTTTTAGGAGCCTTAGAGGGGAAAGGAGGAATGGATGATGAGCATCTGAATCTGCGCAGAGGCTAGGTAAATGAATGGAGAAGCCTTGCACAGAAAGGCACATCTTAGACAAAGATGGGCAGTGGGTTGTGGGAGAGGTGAAAGAGGACTGTGTTCACTCATACCTCATCCCTGGGAGGGAACTGAACACATCAGATATCAGCATCACACACAGACATGGACATTTTATTGCCTACAAGGGCTGCCAGCCAGGTCACCATTCTGATAAACTGAACACCAGTTTACAGCCAACAAATGCTTAATGGGCAGATATAAGATAGATCTGATTCTTGTTCCCTGGTCAGAAGATGACCAACTCTTGAATCTTGTGCAACAGTTTAAATTTGTAAAGTTTCTTTACCTATAAATGATAGTAGCAAGTTAACACAGATAAAGCTGTGCATGGTGGTACACACCTGTAATCCCAGAATTCAGGAGGCTGAGGAAGGTGGGTAGCCATGAGTTCGAGGCCAATCTGGGTTACAAAATTATTTCCAGTACAGCTTTAACTGCATAGTGAGACCTTGCTTCAAAAAGACAAAAAAAATAGTTATCACAGATATAGACACTGCAAAAATGATAAGAAGTATATTGATTTGAGACACATATAAAAGAAAACATGCTAAGCATCAAGTCTTATTAGAGTTATCTTTGAATCATGATGATGGCAATAAAATTGCCTTGATGATGGTGATAAACACTGATCAGTCTGTTCTTCCTGAGTATTTTGAAAAATGAAATATCTCTGATTCTCAGCTAATGCCCAAGGTCAAGAAGGTGCAAGACGAAGTGAGATGATTCATAAATATTTAGCTCCTATCCTGTGCCTTCTATTATGACAGACTCATTTGCATACGTTTTTCATTTATTCTTCATAACAATCTTATCATCTGTGTCTTATGAACGAGAAAACTGAAGAGGTTAAGTCACTTGCACAAAGTCTCAGAGCAATTAAGCTGCAGAGCTAAGATTTGATCTTAAAACTACAGGGCTTACTCTTGGACTAGGGTTCTCATATGATTTCATAGTTTCTCAACTGTGAGCCACTCTTTTATGCTGGAGCATTTCTGGATAAACTCGTTCCACAGTCATCACAGAGGGAGACTGGACAGAAGTCTCAACCATTGTGTTCTGCACTGTGGTGGCTCCATAGGTACCCGTCATCTCTTCGCTTGTTTTATTAACTATTTACGAATTCACCAGTGAACATTGAGTCAGACACTGTGTTAGACCCTAAGGGTAGAAAGAAAAAAGACCCTAGTATGATTAATGATACATAACAGCACTGTGAGTGTTTGATGTGCCCTTTGAAGGATGTAAGTCATAGGTTGTACGTGGCCTTGTCATACCAGTCGGTGTCTAGCCAGCGGAGAAATAATATCAAAATTTTCCACAAAGAGAATTCAATCAAAAGAATAACAGCTAGGAATAATGAGTTGTTAGATAACTTAAAAGACCAAAAGGGAAACAACAAATTGTCACAGATAGAGCCACTGCCGAAAGGAGCCCCTATTCCTGGTATTGGAGGGATAAAAGGAAGATGTGGGAATTATTAAAATGCAAAAGTCTCGATTAGTTTCCTTGCAAAGTTCAAACTTTACCCCAGGGAAGAAATCCTTTCTCTGGTGGGCATCTGAGTGTAGAGGAGGGAACCAGTGGGGCTGCAAATTCTCAGAAGGGATCACCACTAGGCAGTGCTGGTATTTCTAAAGGAATATATTGAAGTGTGTTCTGAAACTGAGGGGAAATCTGAAATGTGGATTTGATTGATTTTGCAGGAACTGGACTGCTACTACTGGAATGCATCAGAAAGACTTGGGGGATGCTGACAGGAAGAATAAGCAGACAGGTTGTTTATAGGAAAAAAATAGAGGATAGCGTTTTCTTCTTCCTCATCCCACCTTGTAGTATAGGAAAAATCCAATAAAGCTCCATCTGGAAATGTAGAAATAAAGTTTGTAGGACCCTACCACACAATAATGTATAAAAGAGTACATTTGAAGTTATAAATAATAGTGGAGAAGAATAGAGCGTCAAAATTTTGAATGATTTTAAGAAGATTCCCTGGAAGGCATGATATACTTTTCAGAGAAAGTCCTGAATCTTACAGGATGTGAGTGGGACTAAAAGGAGGAAATTGTGATGGTGCTACAAGTTGTTTTAAGAACTGAAAATGAAGTCCATAAAACACACATACACACACACACACACACACACACACACACACACACACATGACTGATGTTAGGAAGATGGTGAAATGACTTTTGAGCCTTCATGCCTTTGCAGAGACATTGATTTGAACAGCTATTAATACACAAAAATACCTTCATAAGAATTAAGAAATCCAAGCACAGATGGCAGAATCTGGGTAGAGCACAAAAACACGAAAAAAATTCATTGATGAAGGTAGAAGGGACAGTTTCACTTTACTTACACTACCCTTCCCCCAAACCCCAGCAGCACCTCATGGAGAGATACTGTCACATGGGAAAAGACAATGCAGTGACTTTGCCATAGACCCCAGCACCAGCAACAACCAGTGAACTCAGGTTCCAGGACAAACTCCGTAAAACTTGGCTCCAAGTCTATTCTAGTGTCAGTCTTGAACCCATGGTCCCTGGCTTTAAAATGTCTCTCCCTCCAGGACTCAGGATCCAAGCTGCTGCAGTGTGAGGCATGCAACTTTAGACCAGATTTGAGGCCATTCGCCACTGATCCAGTTGCAATGTCTACACTACTGTATTCTAGCACCAGGAAAACTTCCATATTCCTTTTTGTGACCTTCCTCCAAAGACCCCTTCACTAGGCCTACTCACACTGGTCTTTGTATATGAGGACTATCCACAGCACAAGCTAATCCCACCAGACATTACACATAGGATCTTTGGAAAAGATAAATGGTAAAGTAATTAACTTTTTGAAAGCCATGTATAAATACTAGGAGAGCACAAAAAGATTGTAATTATTATATATTATAAACATATACCAATTTAAAAAGACTGAAAGAGGTGTTCACTCCTTTAAATACAGGTGCCAACATACGATCCAAAATATTCAGAAAAACATGATGCTACCAACGGATTAAAAGAAGGCACAAATAACCTACCAAAAAGAAATAAAGATCTACAAACAAGCATCTTAATCTTGGTAAGCTATAAGAGAACACATAAGGAAAACTAAATGAAATCAAGAAACCAATACACTAGCAAGGTTAGAGTTCACCAAAGAAGTAAAAATTCTAAAGGAGCACCTAACTCAAATTCTGGATCTGAAGAAAATAGTGACTAAACTGAAAATTTTCGTAAATAACCTTGATAGCAGACTTAATTAAGCAATATCGGTGAGCTCAAGCAGATCATTTGAAATTACCCAAATGAACAAAACTAAAACAGAATTAAGGAAGCATGTAAACTTATGGCATACTATCAGCCAAAACAATAAAAATTTGCATTATTATGTGAGTTTTAGATCAGTACAGAAAGAGAAAGGGAAAAAACAGTTATTTTAACAGGCAGTGACACCACTCTTCCGTAATCCCAAGAGAGTAATGAGCATCCAGATACATGAAACTCAAAGTACCCTGAAATAGATTAAATATAAAGTAGTTTCCACTGAGATATATTAGAATCAAATTCACAAAAGTCAGAGACAAAAGGAATTTTGGAAATATCAAAAGAAAAAGAACTTGGGAACTCTTCTTTTCTAGAACTCTTATAGGTCAAAGGGTTCATGATGATGTATTGAAAGTTCTGCAAGGAAAGAAAAAAAGAAGAAAGAAAGAAAAAAAGAAAGCAAGCAAAAAGAGAAAGAACAAGTCAATTTCCAGCCACAAATACTATACCCAACAAAACTATCCTTCAGAAATGATACAGAGTTCTCAGACAAGTAGATTCTGTGGGAGTTTATCACCACTAAATCTGCTTTACAAGATATGCTAAAGGAAGTTCTTCCACTAGAAACAAAAGGATGCTAAGTAACAACATGAGAATATGAAAGTTCAAAATTCACTGTATGGATAAGAATATAGTCCATTTCAGAAACATCTGATAACTGAAATTAAATTACTTTAGCTTAATTTAAATTACTTTAGAAATTAAATTACAAAATAGTTATAGCTATAATAATTTGTTAATAGACACACAATACATAAAATATGTAACTTCTGATGTTAATAAATATGGAAGAGAAGTTAAACTACAGAATTTTTGTGCATGGTGAAAGTTAAGTCATTATCAGTTTAAAACACGTTTTTCATAAGGTTCATAAAAACTAGTAGTGAGTACAATTAAGACAAAGAAAAGGGAATCATAGCATATGCTACAAAACACCATTCGATCACAGATGAAACAGGATGAAACAGGATGAAAAGAACAAAAGAACTACAAAACAAAACCCTTCTCAAAATATCAATAGTAAGTACTTAATCTGTTGCTACTTACTGTAGGTGTAAATGCTCCAATAGAAAGAAATCGAATGATTGGATGAATTAAAAACAAAAACAGAAACAAACTACATGCTGCCTATGAGAGACTCCTTCTAGCTTTCAAGACACATATATACTGAATGTGAAAGGGTGACAAAAAGTATTCTATACCATTGGTAACCAAGGAGAATAGTGGTAACTAAATTTATATCAGAAAAAAATAGACTTTAATACAAAAACTTTAATGAGATACAAAGAAGGTCATTATATAATGATAAAGGACTTGATTAGTCAAGGTTATAATAATCATAATATATTTGTACACAGTACACAGTAGAGCACCTAAATAAAGTGTACATTGCCAGAACTGAAAGGCGAAATAATGTAGACAGTAACCCAATAGTAGTAAAGGATTCGATATCTCGCTTTAAACAATGAACAGATCATTCAGACAGAAAATCAATAATTACACAGTGGACTTGAACAGCACTGTAGACCAAATGAACCTGACAGACATATACAGAGCATTTCACCCAATAGCAGCAGAATACATTTCTTCTCAAGTTCACATGGAACATTTTTTAGGACAGGTCAACTTAGGCTGCAAAGTATCTTCAACTTAAGCTTGAAATCATACCAAGCACCTTTTCTACACACAATGATGTGAAAGTGGCAATCAATAATAGGAAGAAATTGGAAATTTCACAAATGTGGAAATGAAGTAACATGTCCTGAATAACCAATAGGTCAAACAAGAAATCAAAAGAGAAATTTTTAAAAATCTTTAAAACAATGGAAATACCACAGAGTAAAATGTATGAGATGAAGAAAAAAGCAGTTCTAGTAGTAGAGTTTGCAGTGATAAATGTCTACATGAAGAAAAAAATATCTCCTATAATCCAACTTTGCACCTCAAGGAATTAGAAAAAGAACAGAACCAAAAATAGCAAAATAAAACAATAAAAATCAGATTAGACATTAATGAAATGAACTAGAAATGCAGTAAAAAAAGATAAGCATGATCTTTGGATTTTTTAATTATAAAATTGATGAATCTTTAGCTACTAAGAAAAAAATGAAAACTTGACTAACAAACAGGAACTCTTACAACTGATTCTACTGAAACACAAAGGATCATAACTATTGTGTTGATGAATCAGATAATGTAGAAGTGGATGACTTCCTAGAAACACACTAACTACCCAGACCATGAGTTCCCTCATTAAGAAAAATTCTTAACAGACCAATTAGGAAGAAGATTAACAGAAATAAAGATAAAAATTATGTGATCTTCTCAGTAAATGTAGAAGTATTTGACAAAATTCAAATTCCTTTTCATGATAAAAACTAAACAAATTACATGCAGAAGGACTATAACTTAACAAAATAAAGGTCACCTGTGATTAGTCCACTATAGTCAGTGGTGAAAAAGTTGAAAAGGTTTTTTTTTTCCTCTCTAAGATCAGGAATGAGACAAGAATACTCACTCTTGCTGCTTCTATGAGACATGGTACCGGAAGTTCGAGCCAGAGCAATTAGACAAGAGAAATAAAGAAAATACATGCAAGTCAGAAGGGAAGAAATAAAACTTCTGTTGTCTGATGACATGATTTTACGTATAAAACTGTAGTCACAACTGTAAAGATGCAACTACAAAAGTTGTTAAAATTAATAAACAAATTGAGAAAATTGCAAGATACAAAATCAACATTTAAGAAAATCAATTGCATATGATAATAAAGTATTGGAAAAAGAAATTAAGAAAGCAAGCTCATTTATAATAGTAAAAAAATACTGAGAAATAAAATTAATCAGGAAGGCAAGAGAGCTATACACTGGGAAATATAAAACTGATAAAAATTGAAGAAAATATAAATAAAAGAGAGATAATTCATGATTGGAAGAATTAGTATCATTAACATGCTCATACTACCTAAAATGACCCACAGATTTAATGCAATCTTTGTCAAAACTCTATTTTTCACAGAAGTAAGAAAAATCCTAAAATTCATATGGACTCATAAATGGTCCTGAAAAGCCAAATCAATCTTGAACCAGAATTATAAAACCTGAAGCTCAGAGTTTGTGATTTCAAAATAAACTACAAAGCAATAGTAACAAAAATACCACAATATTAACATAAAGACAGACATAAATACCAATCGAACAGAACTAGTTCAGAAATAACCCCTTGAATGTTAGGTGAATTGATTTCTGACCAAGGTGCCAGGAACACACAATGACCATGTCTTTTCACAGTGTTAGGAAAACTGGACTTTTATTTCACATCCTTTAAAAAATTAAAGTAGATCAAAGACCTAAATAGGAGGTCAAAAACCATAAATTTTCTAGAAGAAAACTTAGGGTAAAAATTTCACGTTGATATAGCCAATGATTTTTTTTTTAATCTGACCTTTGAAAGCACAGGCAACAAATCAAAAATAAATTGGGTTGCACTAAACTAAAATGTTTCTGCACAGCAAAGAAAACCATCATCAGAGTGGAGAGACAACCTATAAAATGGGAGAAAATATTTGCAAACCATACTTCTGGTAAAGGATTGAGGTCTGAATTCAAACAACTCAGTAACAAGGAAATAAATAATCTTATAGAAAAAAGGCAAAGACCTGTAGAGATATTTCTCAAAAGAAGTCCCGCAGGTAACCAACGGGTATATGAAAATAGTGTCACTAAATATCACGATCTCATTTGTATGTAGATGCTAAAAAAAGTGTGAACTAGTACCAGTACAGAATTGAATGATTACTGCCTGGGGTGGCTGTAGGGGAAATGGGAACCTGGTAGCCACAGGGCTCAGAGTTTCCATGTAAAATGAGTAAATTTCGGTGATCGAAGGTGCAGCACAGTAGCTATACTTAATGATACTGTGTCTTACATTTGAAATCTACCAAGAGTAGGTCTTAAACATTCCCACCACAATAATTTTTTAAAAGGCAATTATGAGGGGATAGACGTTAATTGGCTTCATTGCGGTCATCATTTCACAACGTGTTCATATATGAAAACCATCACAGTCTGTGCTGTAAATGTGTATAGCTTTTTGCTGTAAATTATTCCGCAGTAAAGCTGGAAAAGAGTAAGATTTTTGAAGTCAGAAAAAGTATGAGAGAGAAGAGAGGAAAAAGGTAGCTGAAGACAACAGACAAGAGAAGAGAGTGTTTGCTCCTTTGAGCAGGAACCCAACAGAGCCTGGGAGTGAGGAGGAGATGAGATAGGAGACCTGGGCAGGCATGAACAGGGGAGACATTCCCTCTGCCAGGCTCTGGGTCTCAAGCCTTTTAAGGTAGAACACCAGGACTGGACTCTATGGAGGAAACAAAAATGGCCTAATTCCTATATATTCCCAATTTTGTCCTTCCAGTGTCCCATGACTAATGTATTATAGTCTCCAAAGTATAAATGAGGACGTTAAGCTCAAAGAGATTAGTTGAGTCCCAGCCACACTGCTCAGTACTGAGGGAGCCATTAGCATGGCTGTGCACGGCAATGGCACAGCTTGGGTTGGTACAGGATTTAGTGGCATGGCCATCGGTACATACCGTCCTAAACTGGGCCACATAGCTACCAGACAGGGTAGATATGAAAAGTGTGAGATAGTCTAATGCAGTTTAGGAGCTCATTTATTTCCCCCATGCTAGAAGGATTCCTTATATGAAAAGTTGAAATCACTTGTATACATGAAGTCCTCAAGGGAGCAATGCTTGAAATCTCATCTCAAGAAGCCCATTTCATCTGCATTACCACAATCCTTTGGGATTCTTGGATCAAATGAGCTAGTGTCAGCAACAATAAAGCTTTCTAGTAGTCATAGAACTATCATGCTTCCTAATTCTGAATTCTGAGGGTGTCTAGAGTCATGAGAGTACCTCGTTGGTCAGGAAGATCACAGCACGGTATTTGGTACTGAGGACCTACGTTTCTGATTTCTCAACTTGTTTGGGAGTTTGCAAAATTTAGTCTCCGATGCTTGTTATAGCTAATTTCACACTTTGCTGTCACTTGTTATTAGGTGAGAAAAAATACAGGCCTGCTAGCAAATTCTCATTTAAAGAGAAATAAAATACACATTCGCTGTGGCATACTTAGGAAAAAAAGCAATTACTGAGTAGATATTGCTGAGTGTACCTCATAATGTAGAGACCCAAGGAGGAATTAAACAGCATGGTCAGGAAAGTCCTCCGGCCGCACAGCATGGTTTAACTTCTCTTGCTGTACTTTGGCCACTTCCAGATAACCCCACACAGCGTTTTCAGTGGCACTAGGCATCATTCCAGGTGGGTGACAAATGAGAGAACATTCTCCAAATTCCAGGACAAACCACTAACTGGTTCTTCTTATAATTTTGCAGTTTCCCACAGATCCTTGCTGGTGGCTGACACATGTTGAGTGACTTATCCATGGCTATGGCAGCTTTTGGTCTTCTGGGGCTCAGAGAGCTGGTGCTGGAGCACCAGCCAGCCTTGTATTAGGATCCAGCCCCTTGATTTGATGAAGCATTTGCAAAGCAGGGCAGAGCTAAGGTGATGGGAACTTAATGTGATGAATGTCCTGCGTGTAGGCTACTGTGCTGGGCTTTACTGTTAGCAGACAAATAAGGCATATTCACTACTCTCTGGAGTGCCCTACTTGAATTGGGTGACAGATCTTATATAGAAAAAGATCAATCACTGTGGAAGGCAGATAAATGCCAAATGAGAGGGAGACACAGTGAGTCCCTTCAAACTAAAAAGACCATTCACAGGACATAGTTAGACTCCATTTTCAGAGAAGGAAAATGAGGGTCAGAAGAAATGTGAGGAAAATGAACGGCCAGGGAAGGGTAGAAGAGACATGGTGAGGCTGATGTATTGTGGTCTAGTTCTCTCCCATTTCCAGTACATGGTACCAATTTATCTAAGTGTTATCCATCTCATTTTGTTCACGAAGAATGTGCACTTCAGAGCAGCTAAATGGCAGAGCGGTTAAATGGAGTAGAGCTTGAACTCAGAGTCTGTTTGATTTTCACACTATGTTTTGATGGTAGCTCCAGTTATCACAGAGAGCTGCAAAGAAGAGGTGGCACTTGTGCTGGTTCTTTAAAAAAGAAAATAAAAGGCACATGACTGCTGAAGGAAGAGCATGTCTGTGGCATTCCAGTGAGGAATACAGAGGGGCAACAGGTGACCTGCAGGAACCTAGGGTTAGGCTGGGGCTGCAGGTGTCTTTCAGACAAGTTGAGATGCTTTTTCCCAAATGGCCTCCTAACTAAATTGCCTTTCAGCCATGAGTCCCCTGTCGTGGTTTATGTTGGTGGCCCCCAGGCCTCATCATTTGCATTGTGCATTTGTGATTGGTTCATTGTCTAGCCCTTGGATTGGGGGTGTGAGTGCTACAATGGCCTAGGTGTGGAGCCAAGATGTAACGTAATGGCAGGGAAAAAAAAGGTGTGTCTCGCTCTCTTTTACCTGTTTCCTCCTTGCTGTTTGCAGCCGCCATGAACTGCGGCCCAGCCATGCGACCGCCTTCGAGCCAACTACGTAGAGACTAAAATCTCCAAAAACTTAAGAAATAAACCTTTCCTTTCCCAACTTTGGGCTTCAGGTATTTTGTCTCAGCGACCAGTAAAACATAACTAAGACAAAATTCAGTATCGAAAGCTTAACTAAATGGATTTAGCAATTCTATACCCAAGGATGTTAAAGAAGACCCACCCTAGGGTGGCTCATCACTTGGAGGTATAAAAGGGAAGGAGGACAAATGCATTCCATTCTTGGGAGAAGCTCCAGTCTTCACTTTTTGTTTGGACATCGTCTCCTGGCTTCCAGTGTTGACTCTTCAGCTTTCCAGCATAGATTCTTCAGCCTTTCATCGTAGAGCCTTCAGCCTTCTCTCACAGACCCATCAGCCTGCTGGTGTGGACTAGGGTGAACTCCAGACCTTGGATTGAATCCTTCGGCCTCCAAGGCATAGACACCCTCTCCATGCTTCCTCATTGGACTCTGTGGCTGACCATCATAAGCCAATCTTGTTGTTTCTGTGTATCTCATGTTATAGCTGTTCTGTCTAGTAAAACCGTAACTAATACATCCCCAGACCAAAGCATTCGCAGTGGGGTGAGAGCTCTTCTGTAACTTAGCCCCTATGATAGGGGTGGTCACTAGTCATATTTCCTTGATCTCACTTTTCCTGCATTAAAATAACCACAATCAAGGGCATTTGATACATAAATTAAATTTCCCCAGAGGAACCAAACCAGAAGAATACATACCAGTATAATACAATTGGGTATTACATTGGCTCACACCATCAAAGACTAAATAGTCCCACAGTGACTGTCCCTAAGCTACAGGGCCAGGGAAAACAGTAGCTAGCTGTTCAGTCTAAGGAGCTGGAAGCCTCAGAAGAAAAGGGACCAGCCCCAATTCAAGGTCCTTAAAGGCCCTCTAGCGGGTCACTGGTGGACATTGGTTTTTAACAGTTGAATTATGAGGAATCTGGTGCACATGGGTCACAAGAGCAGCAAAAAGACACCCACCCTGAAGAAGGACTGAGCACGTGCTAGCTTTCCCATCCTGCCTTTTGTTCCATGGGAATTCTCAGTCAGCTCATTGGCCAGAGATGCCTATATTTAAGGTAGGTTTTCCCCATTCAGTCCCCTTACTCACATGCCGATTGACTCAGGAACTACGCTTATCGACACACCTAGAAGTGGGCCTTCCTGATTTTTTAGGCATTTCTCCATCTGTTCAAGCTTGATTGCTTTGATCTTGTGGTGGTGGTTCTCAAACGTGGCTCCTTTTTTAAATTGTATGGGGATATTTAGAAAATAATGGTACCTAACCCCCCTTACAGATTCAAACCTGGGCTCTGACTTGGATATCAGGTGAGTTTACTGCACTGCCCAGCTTTAATCCACCACTCTAATATTTTACCCCTCGGGTAAGCTTGGGTAGCTCACTTCTTTCTGCCCCAAACCTGTTCATGTTTAAGTTGGCTGGTCCTAGTCACTTATTTCTTCATCAAATCTTGCCTTCATAATTACTATATCTTAAGTATGAGCCACAGGGGATGTAGTCAATGATGTGCTGTTCAATTTTTAACAACCAGCTCTCTGGAAAGAGACAAAGCCTTGATTTGTTGATTTCTCTGTTAAAAGTATTCCCATTATCACTGGTTTAAAGGTACCAACAAGAAGTAGATGGACTCAGAATAAGGAGAAACTGTGCATAATTGGCTCTAATGAGCCATAGTGAGCCATTCACAGCCCTGGATAGAATGCTAACTTCAATTCTTTCCACATCCTCAAGGCAGGCGGTCTGGTTGGGAGCAAACAATACATATATATATATATATATATATATATATATAATGAAGAATACAAGAGAGACAGAAGTAAATTCAGCCTGGCAGGGTCATGAAAGATGAGTTTCAATGAAGGAATGAATTGTTGCCCTTAGATATCAATTTTCTCAGGTGCCTCTCCACTGCCTTTGTTTTTCTCTAACATCCTCTACATCTCCATGATGGCATTGACAGTCAATCAGAGTATCTGGCCAGGCTGAATTAACTGATATTACACTCTGATGAAACATGATTCTGCCCAAGAACAGAGCACTCAAAATTCACTTAGTCTGTGTGGAAATAGATCACTGATGCACATGATCCATTAGTGATTTTCAAGTGTTGTGGATGACTTGTGGCCTTAAGATCTGCTGATGTTCTTGGGTACTTTGAGCTGCAATGGGAACTCAGGACTTTGCTGCACACTGAGATGTTTTCAGTACTTCAACCCAGGGCCACTCCTGAAACTCAAACACCTCCTGGACAATTGTTACTGATTTACTAATATGACAACCAGAAGTTCATTTGCTTTGAACAAAAAGTTCTGTACAGAAGAAGAAATCCAATCTCATGTCCAAATTGCTCCTAATAAACCCACAATTGGCAGCCTGTATGATCATCATCTCAAGCTATAATTGTGTGAAAAATGGATGCATTCCCATAACCATGAGGAAAGACCAAATCTTCTCCCACTGGGTAGTGGTTAATAATCTCATTAAGTTATTAATGAAATTAGCAGAGCTTCCTGCCTTGGCTGGCAGCAAATATCAGATGAGGCTATTTTGTGGAAGCCGACAGTCTATTACTTTGGGGATTCTTCCTTGCTGGATTGTTGTCCCTTGAAGGCAGACTCCATGGGCTGGCTCAGAGCAGCCTGCATGTAGCACCTAGCAGACCTGTCCTTACTCCATGCAGAGGATGTAGTGGCCCAATCAGCAGCCCATTTAGGAGTGTATTTGTGTGATGGTGGCTCTATAAACCAGGAGAGAGCTAGAGTTACTAGTTCTTTTGAGAAGCAGAATGATGTTGTAGAAATAGTACTCATTTGAGATTCAGGACCCCTGGGACTCTGTCCTAGCTCTCACCAGGTGAGTGACCTCATGTGAGTCACTTCATTTCTCTGGTGCCTTCTTATCATCAAAGCAAAAGGAGGGTTTGAATAAGTTGAATCTGTGAGGTTCTATTTCCATCATCTCACTTGTACAATGGATACTCGGTGTTTGGCTCATAAGGAAGAAATGCCTTTTTTGTCATGTACCCACACCAAGCTTTGTACTTTTTTTTTGTTTTTTTCCTTTTTATCGGTACCAGGGATCGAACTAACGACTGCCTGCTTGCAAGGCAGGCACTTATGTCGCTGAGCTAAATCTGCAGCCCCTAAAGCTTTGTACTTTTTAACTCATAAAAATACAAATGGATGTTTTTGCTATAGTGTCTGTCCTCATTCATCACATCACAGGTCACCTGTGCAGTTTGGAAGACATATGTGTTGGAATCTAGAAAAGTCAATGTTCCCACTATTCTTCTTCACTCTATTCTTTTTACTATGATGACCTAGAGATTTGAAGTTAAGATTTTGGGAAGATTTCTTTCTCTTTGAATTATTGTCTTTGAGCTAATGAGTATAAGCCATTATTTATCTTTAATTCATTTCAAAACTTACTGTGTGTTTAATGCTTTGGGAGAGATGTTAGTGTTCCAGCAATTTCCTCTGAGGAAAGTCCTGTAGACAAAATTAATCGCTCCGTCCTTGGCATACACTTACCAGCTCTCACAGAGCTCTTTCTTCATTGCACTTTGGTTGATTTTTCTGTCTCCTTCCTCTCCAAGAAACCGTGAGCCTTCCGGAGCAGAGACTGGCTTGCATCCCTTCTAGCATCCCTGTTTTCACTGTGTCTGGTGCATAAATGTTCATGCAATGAATTGAGTTGTGCTCCTTGTAGGAAGACACAATAAGTCAACTAACTTAAAATTTATTTTCAGAGCCTGTTGGTCTTTGACAGGACTTTTCCTCCAAAGGTAATTAATCTCAGTTGTGCTTCTGCTTTTTCCATCTTCCCTACCCCATCACTTTCCAAATCTACAATATCAGGTCGAAGTTGAATATCAATTGAAATTGCCTGGTGAGCATAAAAAATAAATAAATAAAAAGCCAGGCTTTGTTGAGCACCCATTAGTTACCACACAATTTCCTATGCCTGTACCATGAAAGCAACTCTATGCTTATTTTCTCTTTTTACAGGTGAGGACACAGAGGCTCAGAGAAGTCCTGAAAGTTAGGGAGTCCCACAACTAGAAAATGATAATGCTGAGATTTGAACTTAGTTATGTGATTATAGCATCAAAGCTAAGAAGACTTTCCGTGAATTCATTTTTAAATACAATTTTATTTTTAATTGATGTATAAACTTTGTGCTTATTTATGGGACACAGTGGCATAATTAGATATGTACATTTAATATGTAATGATCAAATTAAGGTAATTAACATCTCTATCTCCTCATTAATAAGCATTGGAAAACTTAGACTCTTCTCCAATTAGTTTGCAATGTGTAAATAATTGTTACAGACCATCGCTGCTCTTCTGTGCTATAGAATACCAGACCTACCTCTCCTTATGTGCTGATAACTATTATCCACCTAACCATGTCTCTTACCCCTTATCGTCTGAGATTCAATGAATATTCCATTTTCTTGTTCAATGTCTTTGTGGTAATTTCTCTAGCCCAACTGAGCCCAAACTTTAAAAGCAATAGAGAGAAGGAAGGCATCCACTGAATCTTTCAAAATGAGTCAATCATTTCTTAAATTGTTTTAGATTTTATTTTATGTTTTTGAGTCAGATTGGCCTTGAAACTTCCATCTTCCTGCCTCAGTCTCCCAAGTACTTGGCATAGTGCTAGATTGATAAGTGCGTACCACAATGCCCGATATTCTTATTTTCATCCTCAAAAGTGCATCCTTTCATTCCACTGAATAAGCTGAATTGCACATCTCAGATCATGGCTATGTGGTATGAGTATGGTGCCAGACCCAAGGTATGTCCCCACCAAAGGCATCTTCTTCCCGTACTTCAAATGACTGCTTAGCTGATGCAGAGAAGCCCCTTCCAGTCTGGCCCTGTTCCTTTCTGCATCAGTTTCCACCACTCTACCCTAGTAGGAAAAGTACCATATTGCCCTTGTCATATCCTTGTTTTGTGACATCACACCTGCTCAACCTGCATGCCTGCACTCTCAACTGAGCTACAAACTACACATATTTTGGTGTCTACCTGATGCTTCACATCTACTCTGTGCCTCTCCTCTTCCTTCCTGAGCTAGAGGAACTCTGTTGCTTTTAAGTTTCCATCATCACTCCTCATTTTGCCCTTTGTTGCTGTGTTCTAATATTGCAACTCACAAGCAAGAAAAGGGCTCCAAGTTCAGACAGATGTGGATTCTGTTTGAGACTGATTTCCCAGAAGCAGGCTCTATGGAGTGCATTCCGGTGTTTCATTAAGAAGAGAATTCCAAGAAAAATCAATAAGGAGTAAGCAAGGTAGAGGAGGGGACAAAACCAGCAAATGGAGCAATTTGGGGAAAGTTCTGGCTCAGCCTAATTTTGTAAATTACACTTCAGCATATGTCCCTCCACCTGGTAAGATGGCCACACTTCCTTTCAAAAGGTAGGAGCTGAAAGATGTACTTAATTCCCAAGTTCATGAAGCTCTGTGAGAGAAATGGCCAAGTGGATCTAATTGG